TACTAGAACGTTGTTACATAATTATAATAACAATTGTGTATTTTTGTCTTCCAGCATTGGATTCTAGTGGCGAACTCAAATCAGGTTTCCTTTATGGAAATAATTTTTGGCTGGGCAGTCGTAGTCAATGCCTCGATATAATGAACAAGACTCCCATCGAGTTCGCAAGACAATACATGTTAAATAACACACGATACCGCGATCCGCAGGATGAGTTTCCACCTTTCCAACTGAATTATTTCGTTGCTTACATCAGACACAACAGTACTCTTCAGTATCACATCAATATGTTTGATGAAGTAATTTCTTTCTTTCTTTTGCGATTATTATTAGACTGTCTAGAGAATACCACATTTTTAATCAATGGTTTCTTATTATAGATTTTAAATTTTGATTTCAAGTCCAATTTTTTTACATTATATGTCAGGCAATCCTAAATCGAACATTTCACGCACCTTTCTATATTACGATCTAAATAAATCTAATAAATCTTATTTATATAAGAAAAAATGTATTAAATTCCGGACTATAAACGCAATTAAAACTACTTTAGTAATCGCGAATTAAATTGATACGCAATTTAATAATTTGATGTTACTATTAAGCATCATATAAAGTAGTTAATATGTTGAAAATATTAATAAATTTATTGTGAAAAATATTACCTCAGCCCAGACTTGAACCCGGTTGTATTCCGTACGAGAGTCCTAAGCCATTAGCCCATCGAGGCATCTTTTTAATGTTATTCATGATTTTAACATTTGTCAAGGCCGTAGTCTTTGAAAGTTGTTACTTTTATTTTTATTTTTACTATAAATAAATCTTCTAAATCTTTCTAAATTTTATAACTTTTACCTGAAATATTTTTTTTTATAAAACTTATATTCTTCAGGTATTCAGGAGTTTCTTTCAGGTACTTTTTATATACATTGTATATAAAAAATTTCATATATATTTTAGGATCTGATTACGCTCGGCCTCTGTTTGCCCGCATCCTGTTCCACGAATAATATAAGTTTCATTCTAGAAGGAATATTTCGAGATAGAATTCTTTTAATCAATGATCTCTATTTCGTGGACTTCAATCTGATCCAGATAAAAAACTTAAAGGATAATCACCAATGGTTGTTAAATGGTGCAATACCTTTCATATGGTATGTCGAAAAACATAAAGACAAAAAAAATTAATTTT